CACATCCATGTATCACATGAGCATCCTAATAGAACACTGACCTTAGGTACAGGTACGGGACTCCTAAAAGGCTACTGTTAGCTCAGATCTTGGCATCTCATGGGTATATGAATGAAAATAAAAGTCTCGCTTACATATGAAAGATTTCGAATTCAAAAGGCAATGACATCCTACGTCTTTATAGTACATTTATATTTCGGTATTGCCACAGCTGCTGTCTCAGGTTATTTTCAAGATCAGTATGTGAGGTAGCGGAGGCAGGCATCCTTGCCATTTCCCAATAGGCAGAGAGAATGGAGATTTTCTTGTCCAAGGACACTTGGCTGGGGAATGACTGTTATCTCCACTTCCGGGTCACTGTTTTCCCCTCCCCCACTCCCAATCCACCTTTTAGATGGTCAGTAACATTGCAAGTAAATGAAATATCAGGAAACATGGTATTAAGTTTTGGTTACACAAACATCACAGACACACAAAGGGTCGAGACAACAGCACCTGAGAAATTTAGTAAATACATTTAGAATCAAACTATCTCATTTCTGAAAGACTTCTTCATTGTTACTCTCTTTTTTTAGGTTAGTACCTAATTTTAAAAGTAAATTACATAACGCCCCCCGGGGATAGTGTATCACAGAGATTCTGCTTTCTTCTTGTCACTGTCAGGGGTCCCTACAGAGAAAGGGTGGTGGTTTTGTCAACCGGAACAAACAAGAAACAGTCTTGCTGGAAGACTGTGTGGGCCACCCAGTTCTATAGGTGCTAAGCGATTGTCGTTTAAAAATAAACCAACCCCTCAAAACTTGTATTAAGAAATCCCTGCTTCTTTTTCAGAGTAAAGAAGAACCCAGTCTCTGTTGCTTTATAACATGATTTAAAATGTTAAATCCAAGTTTTGTGTATGATTTAACCTGGAGAACGTCACCCAGCTATAACTTCAAAAAACTTCAAAAAAAAAAAAGGTAATGTGTAGGTCAAAGGTCACTGCAGAGAGAACAAGGACTCACATTAAAACCCAGAATTCCCAGCCAACCTAAGAATGCTGGAGCCTGCTGGGGCCTGTCTGTACTTCCCATGCTGTAGAGCGTTTTCTCGCACTTACTGGGCAAGCAGGATGCTATGTGTCCCTCGTGTATTTTCACAGAAGTCCATTTGCTTTCCTTCCTTGGCCTCTTTGCCATGGGCTATGTCCATCATCAGACGTGATCTCTGTGGCAGAAGTTAGCGCAGCTCCCCCGGGAAAGACCTCTAAAGACCAGATGGGCCATTTAAAACCAAAGTTTCCCCCTTTCTTATAAGAAGGATTTTGGATGTCCAAGGTTTCCTTTCTATCCCAGGAATAGTTTGTTTTTATATTCTAAAGAGAAGGCTTCACTAAGGTAACACAGGTTGCAAAGCCTTTACATTTCTCTCTCTTGATTCATTTCTATCCATGTTAACTAAAAAACAACTCAAACAGACAATAACATTGGCACTGATCATTAATTATTGCTGTAACTGGATTTCACAAGATTTCCATACAATTTTCAACACTTGTCACTTGAAACATCACACGGTTCCAAAAGAACTAAAATGGACTATTACTTTTCAAAAATCAACTTAAGCACACACAAACAAATGCTAGAATGCAAAAACGCCACCAACTAAATAAATACAAGTAGACTGGCAAAGCCGTGATGGAGAAATTTTAAACATTAGTGCAAGTTGCAATAGCTCTTCTCCAGTTCCAACTCAATCATGGCATTTTAGGCCAGAAAGTACAAATCTCAAAAGCTGCATCTCAGCAGATAATAAAATGGTTTAATATATATTTTCTGAAAAGCGTACGTTTTGGAATTTGGCATTTTTCGTTTTGAAAAGTACCATTTCTGCAGATAATGAGAACCAGCACATTTTGCTAAGCAGTTTTGAGGTTCTAAATGGCTGATACACTGACACACTTCAGCTATGGACCTGAAAAGCTGTGGACAGGCAAACCAAAGCAAGTGAAGGTGATGTCCCCTATTAGATTATTATTCCATCACTCCCACCTCCTAACCAACCCCAGGAAGTGCGGTGCCTGGAGCTGCACAGATGTGCGCCCTTCCACGCCCACTAACAAACCTCTGCCCTTCATTTATTGTCTCTCCTCATCGGTTTAAACCACAATCCCTTTAACAGAACAAACAACGTTATATAGAAACAAGGAGTTAGGATTTGTGTTATTTTCTTCTGTAAGTGACAGCAATCAAGTCTAAAGAAAAATAAACGAAGTGTAGTTTCCAGAGTACCCTGGGTCGCTCGCGCACATCTGTGTCATCCCACCTATGATCACAGCAAATCCTGACACTTCCTTGGTGCAGAGCGACAGGAAAGCCCCCCACCATCACTGCTGTGCTGGGGCAATAAGACACTCCGGAAGGCCTAAACCAGCACGCAAATTCTGTGATGCCTCCAACCAGCTCCACCCACTGGGATGAACACAAGGGAGGGCTGCTGTGAACACACCATGAGAATAACTGTGTGCATATGTACATGATATGTAGCTGAGATTTTCATTACGCCAAATTCATTTCTGCACAAGAAGAGAACTAGAGTCCTTATGAATCTTAGTTTCTCATTGTCATTGTGCCATGGGCCTCACCACTCCTAACAAACATTTGTATATTTTAGACATGCTACTAGATAGTGGAGATGAAAATAGGACTAAAGATGGTCACTACCTGCAACCTTCTAGAATCAAGGGAACTAAGTTATTATGGAAAGCTGGGTTTTCTGCAAGGCTGAAGCTTCATCAGTTAAGTGACTCAACTTAATTTCAGTTGTTTTTTGTGTAAAAATCTTTTGCACTTCCTGACCTGAAACAGACTGCTAAACAAAATTTAATTTTCTTCATATGACTCAGCCTCAAAATGATGAACACAGTTTCTTGGTGGATGGAACTATAAGTCTATATTGTAGGGGATAGGGGGCGGGGCGGGGGGGGGTAAGTAAATGGATGGTGATGCCAGCAATCGGTCCGGAACTTGCATTTTAAAAAAATTGCAACTAAAAGCTTGTTTTCAAGTCAAACGCCTCTTTACATTAAAGGAGAATAAAAGTTGCATATAACAAACTGGGCAGATAATCTGCGAAACTGCTCAGTAAATCAAAGGTGGAAGCAGTTTCTCCTAAGTGCTTTTCTTGTCCTTACTACATGTACATATGCACACACATGTACACAAATGTACGTACCCCCCCACACACACACACACACATTCCTGCTTCATTCTTGCTGTCAGCTCTCTTTGATTGGCGAGCAGCATTGAAAACACTATCTCCACTATTTGCTCAGTTGACCCAGGGGTCTCCAGGCACCCTGTGTCAGTCCACACTCACCCATTCAGCTAACTTATTTGCATAAGATTTGTCAATGGTGTGTGAAGAAAAAAAACCCTCACATCATTCTCAAACTTCCAGAAACATTGACCCTGGGAGCAGAAAAGATGTCAAAACTAATAGCAAGGATTTCCCTTCCTCGGGGTGAACTCTATAGCCCTCTATGAAGAAAAACATTTTGTCTTTCTCAGTTATACTTAAGTTCTAGTCTTTCACTGGATGTACAAAAAGAGATGAAGCAGAAAGAATTTTCTAGCAATCTTGCAGAAAGGTGGAAAGCAATCAGATTTCCCAGTCTCCAAGGATTTACTTAATGAGCTTTTAGTATTCGTGCCTGATGAGATTAATATAAGCAAAAATAACCACTATTAATTAAAAATAACAGAATTTGGAGGATTTTAAAAATAATCTTAGACATTAAAGAAATTTTTATATATAAAAAGAGGTGTATTGAAAAGATACTCAAAGGTCAAAATGGACTTCCACAACTGGGCACACAAAATCATTTAATAACGGTGAAGCATTTTTCATAACACATTTACTATTTAAGAAATGCATATTAAACAGATTCTAATTATTTATCCAAATTTTGCCATAAGGAATCTATAGTATATTAATTACATCATTATCCATCATTATACTGGCCAGTTAAGTTCCAAGTTGATAGCATATTATCTGGCTTATTTGTGGAAATCACATTTTATCCGATAATCTAAAATGGACTGAAGTGCCATTACAGAAATGCCCATATGGAATAATAACTCAAGTCATAGAAAATGGGTTCTAAAAATCACTCTGGAAAGGCCATTCAGCAAAGGGCCATAGAAAAACATGAAAAAGTTTTAATGCAATACCCAATAAGCCCAAATGTGATGAAGCCTATGGGTACAAAAGCAATGCTAATGTTACAAAAGGAAAGCCATGTTTCTGCTGCTAAGCTTTTCATCTGAGAGGACAGAAAGATAAAAATGACTCTCAAGTCCACTATTTCTCACACTCTCCAAGGTGCAGGACCAGTTCTCACCCCCGTGATCCTTCCCGGACTGACAACTGAGCAAAACACATAGGTCCTTAGATGATGTGTGGTCTATAGCTTCAGAACCAGAACCCAGAGACTGGTTCCTGGAAGCAATATCTTGAAGCTGCATTGATTGGATGTCCATGTGATCTCCTGGTCTTTGGTAGATCCTTTAGTTAACATATATCACATAGTCTATTTCTAGAGCTGTGATCATGAAAAGGAAGAAAACTTAGCAGCCCTTTTAGAAAGGTTGATTGATCACACCAAGAGTTTTCAGCATATCATACCACAGCCTCTTATATTTTGACATTTGGTTTTTTTCATTCCTTTTATAACTAATAGAAGCCAAGGCAGAAAGCTTCCATTTCACAAAGAATTTTTGAGCTTTTTGAAAAGAATCTTAGAGGTCATTCAGTTGAACCCCTTGATGTTATAAATGCAGAAATTTAGGTCCGGGGAGCAGCTAAGTGAAGAGCCAAAGTAGGTGTCAAGGAGGTTGCCTCTCAGCCCAGTCATTTACCACCATCATCTGCTGCTTACATAAGACATCAGATTCTATTTTCAGAAAGTGCCTACTGATGACATATAGGTTAATGAAAAGAGCAACGTCAGTGTGTATACATACCTTGCATCTGGTAGCTGTAGGGCGCCTGTCCAGGTTGAGGGGTACCAAAGCTCGTGCCATAGCTGAGGAATCCTGTCTGTCCAGGTGACTGAGACTGTGACAATCCACCTTCAGTCTTGATGCCTGCCCACAATGCACCTAAATCAGTTAGTGATAGCTTATCTATCTGTTCGTTGTCAAAAGCTGGTAAATACACAAAAACACTCCCCCCCACTGTTGAGTCACAGATGCTCCCCAATAGTGTCTCACTAATCAAGGGTGAACCCCCTAAACTGTAATTTCAATTTTTTTTTAAAGAAACAGGATTATTACAGATATGAATGCCTATTCACATTGTTCTTTCTTGGTGTTTTCCTGAATTCCATTTTCTATAAAATTTAACACCGGTGATATTATTTCTGCACTTAGCTTCAAGAGTTTAAGATCATCTTCTCTATAGTCAAGAAATGGCCATAAGTACACTTTAGCTAAATTATTCCAAAACTTGCCATGTTGATTAATGCCAGAATCAAACCTTTTCTTTTTTTCTAAAAAGTAATTAATTAGAGTCTCTAGCCTCACAGCAGTTTTTTCTTTGTTCCTTTTTTCCTTACTTTTTCTGCCACAATGCTATTTTTAGTACACACTCATTTTGAAGTCAGAGGAAGCAATATTGGGCACAGAACTAAGCAACACAAGGGAAAAACCTTCTCCCAATAGTCTGATCCTCTCAGGAAGTAAGCACATTAAAGGAGAATATTAAGAACTGAATCCTGCAGAATAGCACAGTAATTTAGAAACAAGAGAAGTTGACCAGCAGTTCCCTTTTAGTCCTTTGCAGTTTCAATTATTTATTCAAATATAATTGTTTTAAGGGTAGCCTAAAATACACTTTCGTTTTATCATATTGCAATATAAAAATAATGTATTTGTGCCCTAGATCGTAAGGAGAGACAGTCATGAAAGTTAACAACTGTCCTTAATTTTCACAGGGGAAGGGGAGGACAATTTCTGCCAAGGAAATTCACATTTTGAAATAATTTTACTTTGCACTTAAGAATATCTTTGGGATCTAGAATACACAGTAGTCTCACTGTTTATTTCCATTTTAGGGGAATTTCACCAGTAGAATGAAGTTAGGTAACTTTTCCTGAGGCAGCGCAAGAATCTGACTCTTGGCCGAGAGAGCCTTCTCTCATTCTTGGAGTGTCTCTAAATAACCTCAGAATGGCCTTACCATTGAAGTCTTGACATAACCTGAACATTGTGAAATACGTGATTTTCCCTGTCTAGGCCGTCCCACACTAATGCATAACCCAAACTTATAAGGGGTCCCTGGGAAAACAATTGCCCTGAACGGGCGGGCCTGATGGCTCTAGAACCTCCCTCTTTCCATGTTGTCACAATAGGAGTCTCCCCGCTTCTCTCTCCATTTGATACCGATATGCTTCCCGTCTGTACCTGCGCCACATCTGCTTTTAGCCTGGAGGTTCAGGATGGGAATCTTGGTGATAAGAACAGGTAAGGAAAAGCAAGAAGACGTAGAAAGCACCCACAGAGATGGCTGCACCTGTTTCAATGGCTTCTACCCACAAGCTGGCAAACTCATCTCACTGATCAACTTGATGCAGGTTCGGCGAAGAATTAGTATGAGCTCTTATTTTCCACTCATCTAATGCTCTTACTATGAAAAGATTTGCCTATCTTTTCTTCCATGGTCTTAATAAAAAGTCAGGGGTAGAAACCCTCAGAGAAAATCTTTTAAGACTACTGGGACCTTGACAATCAGCAGTTACAAATCCTAAACTATGCGACACTCTTCCTTCATGAGAAAGCAGTGGGGAGAAGGCGGCCTTATTTTCTTTATTTTTTGACGCACTGACCCAAGAACAAACAGAATGTCTGGTCAGAAGAGCTGGGGTGGGGGGAGGAGGGGCATCTTCTTGTACTCAAGGCCCAAAGAGAGGAGAAAAAAGGCGATAAGGAAAATGCTGAGGCCTGAGAATTATTCCCAGGAGATTTATAAGGACGGGAGGCCCAGGGATCAAAGCCCTTTACACTGAACCTTACGCTTATCACCTCCCCGATCCCCACCTGTCACAGGAAAATCCCCATCCTCATTCTATTAGTTCTAATTTCAGAACTTCTGCTCATCTCATCCTCCTGAAACAACTCTTTCAAAAGCAGGGGCATTTGGTAACAGTTTAGGACTGGAGGGGTCCCTACCCTACAGCCCAGAAGTTGGCAACGGGCCCTACCATGACTAAGTGAACAAGAGAAGAGCTGGGAGAGTGGCACTCAAGGCAGTAACAGGGATGGCACCTTCGCACAACAGCACCCACATTTTAGTATAGTTTGTACTGGAAAATTCACTGAAACTTCAAATCATCAGCCTACAGACAAATTTTGAGAATATAAATTGGGGAATCCTTAACTCACATTATAGAATTAAAACTACACAATTCAAATCGTAGATTCCCCCCCCTTTTAGCAGAATAGTTTAAAAGTTAATTATACATAAATCTGATCTATATCTAATATTATTTTGAGAAACCTTAGGCAAAAGTTATGGAAATGGAAGAGAATGGTAGGAAGTCTATTTTATGGGTGTTTTTCAAGTTTGATTGAAAAAACACTTAGCTAGATCGCATTCAGTTCTGATAGTTGTGAAATAAAACTATAAAGGGTGAAGTCATATGTAATTTAGATGTTAATTTCTACATATAAGAAATTTATATATGGTCAATTTGGTTTGGGGTAAAGAAAGAAAATGAAAGGAATGAAGTAAAGAAATGCTTAAAAAAACCACATCGGTGTTTTTCAGTATACTACAGAAAAGAATATTACAAAACAACAGAAGCAGAAATGTAATTACATCACAAAATAGAATTGTCATATTCTACCAGTACTCTCCTCCAAATGTTCCTGTACTTTTTCTTGATCATTAGATTTTATGTGTTTTTAATAAAATGCCAATAATTTGTATTTTTCTATTCAAACAAGTTGTAATTTGGGCAAAACTACAATTCATTTGAAGCAAAGGTATCTTGAAAGTCTCAGTCTTTTTCAAACTAAACTTTGGGGTTTTGCTGAACTTATTTTTAACAAACAGGTATTGACCCTGTAACAACTGAGTTAAACTATACCCAGATAAAGCTAATCTCCAGGAGGGAAGGAACAAATGGGGGAGGTGAGCTTTAAATGTTTCCTGATTTGCCTCTTTCAAATGCAGCCCAATCCGAGATGTGAAGATTGCTTTTCCCACTGGTGGATAATGCTGAAATTTGATAACACCATCACCCTCAAGTTTAGGGTTTGTTGGGTTCCACTTGTACTTCCCTAATCATAGGGGGGCATCTGATAAATAGGAAATGCATCATTACCCCAAAAGGCTTTATTCACAGAAGTTTTATCGCAAATATGCACCCAAATACTTTGGATTCCAGAGCCAAGTGCTCAAATAGCCTATTAAGAGTTGAGATATAAATGGAATAAAATGAGAGCAAGAGGGCATAGGAACCATGCAATCTATTTGCCACCTCTGACCTCAAGATAAGTCGCTACCAGTTCTCACAATGCTCATTAAGAAACAATCGCATTAACAATGTGGACACAAAAGGTGACAGTGCTTCCTCAAGTGGCCCAAGATGACGATCTTTTAGTACCACTCCTGGGAGGCTTTCACACAGAAGGGTATGCCCACTAGACAATAGCCCCCCAAAATAGCAGACTCACCATAGGAGGAAATTCCATACGGCTGTCCCGGCTGTGGGTATGTGGCGTACGCTGTCGCTTGCTGCATCCCTGTGGTAAACTGTGTTTGCCCATATGCAGCCATAGTTTGTGAGGAAGGGGTAGGGAGAATATGTGGGTATGCTCTGCTATTTGTCAGAAATGACAGAAAATGAAAGCCCATGCATTAGATGGAAACATGCACGGTCACTGATTCACAAGCATATCACAAATTCAGTAAAAAGACTGTCTTACAGTGTAACTTTCCAATATAAGATACAAAGTGCTGAGATACTTCAGCGTCTCTACTAGATAAGGCCCAGAATAAATCTGCATAAATACATTTAAGTCGCGATGAAACGCACTTGAGTTTAAATTAAGATGTAACAAGTTGGCACAAGACATGACTTGAAATAAGGCAAAGGCTACTCAGAAAAGCTACTGGTTGATTAAGAGAAAATACATCTTACTTGGAAGGATAGATCTGTGGTGGGGAGAACTGGTGAGTTGGTCGTGGGCTGAAGCTACTGCTCCCAATTGCTGGAAAAAAAAATAATAACGCACAATAATCAAAGCAAAATACACAACAGGTATTCAGCAGGGGCACAGTTTGAACTACAGGCTGACAAGATGAAATTGCAGCTATTCGATCTTTATGACCTGCAGAAATGGGAATTTCATCCAGTCAACCTCACAGGAAGTTAAACCATATTAAGAAACCTATAGGAACTGATTAAGTGGTGCCAATTTAAAATGAACTCTTAGGAAACACAGTCACAGTCTTCTTAAGGACCTGTCAGCATGCTGTGACGGATTTTACAGTGGCATGCTGGAGAGTACACAGAGTCCTGCTACTGTTTGGAGAGACGCTAAAAGGGGAGGGCGGACATAGAATTGCAGGGCTGGGCAGGACCCAAAGGTCACCTGGCCTATTGTTTCTGCTCCACGGGAGCGCACACACCTGAGACTGTATTACCAAGAAACAGGGTCTAATCTTCTCTCTGGTGAATAGAACTAGGACAGGCCCTCATCTGCCTGCACCAATTTAGCAACGATTTTAGTAAAAATGCATTCCTATAACTATCTTAAATTTCTCAAGTTGCAAGCTCCGCCCGTTTTTTCTTGTGCTGTAGGCGGGTGTTCCTTTGCCTTCAGTGACACGTGCTCAACCTCAGTGTTGTTGTAAAAAAAAGTTGTTTTTTAAGAGATCATGTAAGCACCTCAAGCAGAATTTTGTTTTAAATCACATACGCTTAATTCAATATGTCTCAGAAATGCACTAAACTCTCCTATCAAATGTTCTTTTATGCTCACGCTGAGCTAAAGAAGCAAAAATCCATTTTTGCTAACAGTAGGCCCTAAAATGGTAGTTTTCAGCTTCTTTTATTGTAAATGAGGGCTATCTTTGTACATATATATCTACACACATTTTTATTTATATATATATATATATACACACACACAGATATACAATACATACATATACATATATACATATATACACACATACATATGTGTGTGTGTGTGTGTGTGTGTGTGTATATACATTTTTCCCCCCCTCAAACTCTCCCTATACTCTACCTAAGATGCATATTCTTTGGGTACAATTATTACAAAATGTAATATGTTTATTTTCTTCTTCATTAATAATCCCTGTCTCCAGAGGCTCTATTATTTTATTAACCGTATTCTACATTAAAACCCTTCATAAGGTCCCACGTGCTTCAAGTTTTATGCCTTGTTCATGACGTCCCATCAGTACATTTATGCTTCTCAAGTTTAATTCTCTAGCTCGTGGCTGGGAGAACAGCAGTGGAGTCGAACCAGAATCTCAAAACCTATGAATAACGCCTTCGTGATAAGACACACACGCCCAACCCGGTGACAATGGAATAGATTTCAATTGCCACTGCTCATTCCAGCTGCCCGACTCCAACCATCTGGCAGTCAGTTTGGCAGAGACGGAGTCAGTATTAAAGAGATGGCAGGTCACTTCAGCTGGGGTCCCTCTGCCTTCGGGCACATGATGAGTTGCTACTCTGTCCCAGGCACTGAGCTGGGTGCTGCAGACACACAGACAAGTTGTCTGTCACAGGTGGGGAGATGACACACAAGTAGCCATGAGAGGATTAAATACTGGCAGTTCATAGAAGGGAGGGATTAATGACACAACACTCTGACCACTAAGGACAACCCCTTGCCCAGGTCATCTGGGATTACAACCTCTTCTCCTCCCCTTTTCTAAACCTGACCGAGGCCAAGGGCCGAGTAGATTTATCCCACAGAGATGCTGGAGAAGCATTACCCTCCCTGCACAATCTTAGTTAAAAATAAGTTTTAAAAAATGAAAACTACAAGGAAAAACCTACTGGTGCCTGGTGACGGGAACCACAGGAATCCCTTTTATTAGTTTTCTAGCTGTGTCCCTGTTTTTCAAATTGTGGGTCAGATCCCCTAACATGATCATGAACTCAGCTTAATAGGTTACACCCAGCAATGTTTTTTTACAAATAGAATAACAGAATAGAAAAAGGTATCAGGGTTATTACACGGCATATGGGAAGTTCTGTGACGCTTTGATGTGGATTAGATGTGTAGTACGTGTGTGGACACATGAAGAACGACTTGGGAGGCTGCAATTAAGCCCAGGTTCTGGAATCAGAATTTAATATCAGCTCAGATTCAAGTTCTAAGTCTTCTTCATGGTGTCAGCCAAGTTACTTGATCCCTCTAAGCCTTGATGTTTTCTATAAAATGATGGCAATACTACTACCTGTAGGATCGCTGTGAGGACTAAATGAAATAATTGACAAAGTGCACAACAATGCCTGTGTGACAAATGTTTCTTTTCTCAGATGCCCAGATTCCCATTCTCTTTTTCCCAAATTGGCCCTTCCTTCTGTATTTTTAATTCCACTCAATGGACAGCATCACCATCTGTTCAGCAAAATGCTTAAAAGCAGATTCTTTGCCCCAATTTACATAGGGGGATAGAAATTAAGTAACACATCCAAGCAAATAAGTGGGAGAGCTGGTGTTTGAACCCATGGCTGCCTGACTCTTTTCATCAAAACATACCATCTCTTGACACCCTACACAGAAACTAGAAACCTCAAAAATCATCTCATTTCCCCCCCCCCCTTCTATTTCATGACCCTCAAGTCGTGCATCCGAAATCCAGATATTGCCTATGGGGCTTCCTGCATCCTCCATCCGTCTCCCTTCCTGGTCCAGGTCCTCAGTACGTCTCACCTGGATGAAGGCAACCGCCAGCTAGCTACCGTCCTTGCATGTCACCCACCGCCCGCTGACTCTCCCTACTGCGACCACAGTGCTCATTCTTAAATGGAAACTTCGTGATCATTCTGCAGCTTGCAGGCTCTCGACTGAGCTTACCTTCGCCCTAGGAAACTTTCCAAATGCGTTGGCAGAGCGCACAAAGAGCTTCAAGCTTCCACCCTCCCCTGGGCTCAGTGTCAGGTGACCCCCGGTACATACGGACTCCCCATACGTGCCCCACATTTCATGTCTGTCTCAGTTCTTCACACCAGACCTTCGGCCTTATAATGCTCCTCTTTCCTCTGCCTGGGAACGCTTTCTCCTCCGTCGGGGCTAAAACATCCTTTCTCTTTAGGATAATGGCGTCCTTCTCTGGACTTTTTTTTTTCTTTGTTTTAAAGATTTTATTGGGGGATCAGGGAAGGAGAAAAGACAAGTTGCTGTCCTTTGGTGCTTCAGTCTAGTTGGGGAGGATGTCACTTCACTGGCCCATGTTGGTATTATCATTGTGCTCTTCCCGGATGAGGCAGATCGGTTGCCGGCCACTGGACGGCCGCTCACGGTGGCTCTTGATGGCTCAGGCCAGCTGTCGGCCGCTCACGGTAGCTTACGGCAGCCCCACTGTACACTATGCCATCACCGGTGACTCACGGCAGCCCAGCTCCAGGTCGAGCTGTTGTTCACCATCTTAGCTGTAGAGGGCACAGTGTTACTGGCCCATGTGGGATCCGAACCGGTGGCCCTGCTGCTCAGAGCTGGCGTCCCAAGCCAACTTCTAACCAACATGCCACTCGGCTGGCCCTGGACTTCCTTATAATGTTACAAACAGTGGCAATGCAGCATCGCAGCTAAGCACATGCAGCCTATAGATGTCGGTTTTCTCTGCTAACCTTGAGCTTCCGGGGCCAAGGACCTCTTACTCTGCCTTGTCTCAGCCCCTGACAGGGCCTGGCATGTGGGAAGTAATCAATAAACGATATTTGTTCAATGAGAACATGAGATTTAGGTCATAAGCAAAGTAGATTTCAAAAAAAATCACAGTGACTTGAAGGATGGTTAAATTATTCTATTTATACACATACATAATAAACCTGATTCAGCTCTTGGGCAATACTAATTGGAGTAAATAGTATTCTTATGAAATAAACATAAATAAGAGCCTGCAGTGCTGCCCGAGTGTCTTCTGGCTGCTAACATAACTACGTGTACCTAAAATTATTGACTATTTAATGCCATATGGGTAATAAGACATATTTTTTGGGTTTTCTCTAAATCCAAACCCATGCAGTCTCTGTGTGGCCTAAGGACTCTTCCATCGTATGCCTCAAGCATTTTTTCCCCTTAATTGTCTAAAACACCTTTAACTTTTTAAACAACTTAGGAATTCATATTAATTTTAATTTCATGGGACCAGACTAACCTAAAGCAAAAAGAATGTCTCCAGATCATTTATTTATCAAGGGAGGGAAAATGGTTAACTTACCATTAGTCAACTCCAAGTTACACTTGCCAGGGACTTGGGAACATACAGACAAATAACAGCTCTCTGTTTTAGCACATTTATTTCCTATTACTATTCCATTCTTTCTCCTACTCCCAACGTGTAAGCTTGAAGAAGCCCCCCAAATCTTGTTGTAGGAAGGGACAGGAGAACCCAAGATAAATAATAGTCACAAGCTTGAGAATCCACTGAGAAGGTCAACAGAAATATCAAAATTTGCAAGTTCTCGATTCACTGCCCGCTCATCCCACCTCCAGGCTCCCATCTCAGTAACGTCCATGTCATTCAGCCGAACAATCAGGTCAAAAGCCTCAAAGTAAGTTTTGGTTCTTCTCTTTCCCTCATATGCTTTATCACAAGTCAAGGCAGCTCTCCCTTCAAAAATATATTCTAAATCTGGCAACGTCTCGCCACCTGTGCCACCACTATGTTCCAACCGCCAGCGTCGTGGCCACCAGAGAATGGAGTGGCAGTCAGGACACTCCCCGCACCCCGCCCTGTCTCCTCCACTCCTTTGCCCCAATAGAACCTGGCACATTTCATCCCATCTCGGTGGCTCTCCTAAGGACGTGGACTAACACAGACCTCTTTCTTCTGAACCAGGGAAAGGCTAACCTCCCTGCGTCTACTTCCCCTCTTCCCCTCTCTCCACACGACAGTGATCTCTTAAACACATCAATTAGCTCATGTCACAATGACCTCCCCAACCCCTCCCCTCACGTCTAAGCTCTGTGATCCTATTATATTTATATTAACCCAA